TTATTGCGTGTTGTGTCCTATACATTTGAATGAGCAACAAAAGAACTTCGATTAAGTTACAAAGGAAAACTCGGGTTAAGGAAGCAACATCGAAATTTGCCTCTAGATGCTAGCGGCTTGCGTAAAAAGAATAAGTTGGGTGAACTAAGTGTGCGGCTACTGGGAGAAAATGAATACTGAGGAGAGACGCGTCTAAACAAAGTTCAAAAGAGTGACAGAGGTGGAATTAGTATGACAAAATCATGCTTGTCATTTCCTATGGGCTTCAGTCATTCCGTTCTCTATTTCCACCTTCAACAATTTAATCAACAGCTTGAATTCTTTGGCCACTAACTTTGTTCCCTTTGACTTCAGCTTGACCACCTTCACTTACATGTCCGCTACCAGGCAGCCACCTAAATCATTTGAGACACTTACTACACATCCCCTTCTTCAGGGTAATCGTTACTGATTCCTCTCACCCTACCCTACCCGTCTATTTCAGAACTTTCTTTTCCATACCCATCCTTGTTGTCACTTTTCCCACTACTTTCAATGCCGTCACATAGAGTAAAATTGATGTGGGTGCAGTGTTACACATGCCAACATCTAATGCAACTGCTTCGAAATCAGGCCACTAAATACTGCAGTACCAACACCTCACTGCAGGCGAAGACTATATTGTCGGTGGCATCATGAAGTCAATATTCCACTTTTGATCGCGCATAGACATAAGGAATGGAGTCCACAACAAAGTATAGGTTTGACGGCTCGATCTCCCAATTGTTGATCCACCATTTAAGTTAGTCAAATGGTTACTGTTAGCGCCAGTATTCCGTATCCCACTTTTGGCCCTTCACCTGTAGATCCACCAGAAAAAACCACTCATTTACTTTGCGCCTACCACTCTACTCCTAATATTTTATAAATGACAGCGAAAAGGGTGATCAGCTAATTTACATTTGATTGCACACACAGAACATCATGCCAATAAAATATTTTGAAGGCGTATTCATAAAGAGCGGATACGATATCACAAAGCAACCCCCTTCGAATGCAGCCGTTCATGCATCCAAGTGTGTGCGACAAATCCAACCCCACTTTTGATCAGACAAAAAGGTACGCAACCTTGTGCTTTAATAATTTTAGCACATTTAAAGTGGTTAGCTGGTATCGGTGATTGACCCATTTAGTATTAGGCTAACACTTACTTCACTACAATTGTAGCGATTGCTAAACTGAAGTGATTTTACTGTTCATTGAAAAGACCTCATGTTAAGTGGATGGGCATCTTGGGTTTCATCACTACAAATCAGTATATTTTGTGTAAGGTCTGATCTGTTTGATGAGTGTTTGTTGGTTGATGCCAAAATAGCAACCTTAATTCACTAGTGGAGCTGGCGTTCATTCCTGGACAAGCTTACCCCAAGCCCTGCCTTACTCGTCAGCAATCATATGCACAATCTAAGACTTGCAGTTAGGAAGAAGGAAATGCCTGAAAACGGGATAATGTGAGACATGAATACAGAAAGAGGAAAGGTGGATAATGTGTAGAGGAATTGCAATGTGTCTCCAAGCGGAGTTCTGCACCATTTAATGTGCACTGCTGCAGCATACGCTCCTTGAGCCACCCATTCATTAATCATCAAGTCTATGCCGTTAATCTCACCACACCCATGCTTCACCACCAGATCTAATCCACTTACAGTCAGTACTTCACCGCCCTTTGACTAGGCAAATGCAATGTGTCAAATCCTACCCTCCAACTAATATCCCGAAGAAGCAATCGCCGATACGTTGTTGGTTATGAAAACCTGTCGAATTCAGCTACACCACATCTGCTACATCTTCTAATTGGAGGCATGCCGAAGAGATAACAATACCCCAAACGAATCCTTTTACCTACGTTGTCGACAATCTACTCGGTAACCATCTGTGGAGCGAGGCTCCTCGGTCTCCGCTTCCCGATTCCTAGCGTTCCTGGACAAGCCCGGTTGGTTTGCTTTGGACATCTTTATTAAAGACGACAAGATGTATAGGGAAAATACAATATTCAAGAAGGAGGGGAGCCGCAGTCACTAGGTAAGGGAGAGGACGATCCAGTTACAAGGTTTGAATTTCCTGATCGCGTCCTCCCTGAAAGGCACATTAAAACAACATAAGTATTACACATCTCTACAATCATTCACCCCTAAACAATCCATCCCCAATAATCAAATATATGATCCGTTCTAACTCTCCGTATATAATAAGAATTCAATGGATATAGGCAATAAGTTCACTCGCCTTTTACTTACACAATGATTTTATATCCATTGAGTCATCTAAAGCTACCAAATATTCCGAATCACTTCTGTGTCCCAGAGCATGTGTCTATTTCAAGTATATGCACTAATTTTACCTCTAACGTCCATACAATATCCTTGGGCAGCAGGCACCAATACATTCTTGTTTTACTGCAGATAAGTGTCTCTATGCAAACAAAGTCTACTTTTTCCCCTTTATTAAACAGTGAGACTGATTTGTGAAATATTTGTATAATGCATAAACAGGACTCCGGCTTAGGTAGAGGGTGAAGAGGAGCACACACGGCAGGCGAATGTGATGGAAAGAGCAAGTTCACTCCATTCTGCATGCCAGTAAAGTGATGCAAGAGAGTGCCCATTTGTGCGTACACAACAACAGTAGGAGTCAGCAAACAACATCGTTTAAAAGCTACGTTAGTGATCAAATCAAAGTCATTCCTCATGAAACTGGTGTTGCTTGTAGGAGGCTTTACCAATTTCCATTCCCCATCAATAAGGAAAGGCAAAGTGGAAA